CGCGCGGCCGCCGAGCGCAACCTGCGCAACGAGCGCCGCGAGAGGTCAGAGGGCTGGGTCCCGTCCCCGGTAAGGGAGCCCCTTGCCCCTTCCCCGGGAAGGAGGACCCACGCCCTCTGGGGAAAGGGGCGGCGCCCTGCACCTGTATACCAGGAAGTGTTTATACCCCCAGGGCCAAGCAGGCGCTGGTGTCCCAGGAGCTGAAGAAGGCTGCCAAGCGGACAGTGAGCATTAGCGAGTAAGAGAGGCTCGGATGCTGGCTCGGCCCCGTGTGTCCTGCAGTGCCCTGCTCTTGGGCCGCTGCCTCCACCTCTACCTTGCCCCACACCTGCCTGAGGCTACCCATATACGTGTGTGCCGCCATGGTGGGGAGGGGGGCACATAGACTGAGGCGGCAGGACACACACAGACACATGTGGTCATAGAAGCCAGCACCGGGCCTGTCATGTGTGCGCCCACCCTGACCCCTTATCACGGGGTCTGCACATCTTCACCCTGTGGGGCTCTGGGACAGGGAGGGCCTGGTCTGGTCCCTTGGCCTTTCTGAGCTCCATTTGCTCTCCCAGGAACCCAGACACCTCAGGCAATGGGACCAGGGAGAAGGCTGAGATGACTCTCACTCTGCCTGCCGAGCCTGAGTTTCTGGAGAGTGAGGCTGGTGAGAAGTTGAAGAGGCCCTTCAGGTGAGGACTGGCCCAGAACTCTGAGCTGAGCCCCACCCCAGAGTCTTCCAGTGGGACCTTGAGCCTACTCCTGGGTTGGGAGGGACCTTGGAGGGACACTGGGGTACATACAGCTCAGATCTCCTAGGACAGGTCTGACCTCCAGGGCCATCTCAGGGACCCCAACCCTGTCCTCACTCCTTTCTTGCTTCCCCAGGACCAGATCTCTGGGGGTGGGGTGTCAGGCTGGTGAAAGGGTGTCACCAGGAGGGAACCTGTGGGCAAGGCCCGGGGCTCAGCTGTCAAAGGCATGTGTGTGCATACACAGGGACACGAGAGCACACGAGTGTGCAAGCCTGGGTGAGCACACTTGAATGCGTGTGAGAATCTGAGCATGTGTAGATAGATGTGAGCTCACACAGTGGGACCTGATTGGGGTTTCAGTCCTCGGGCCCCTCCCCTCCGTTTCCTCATTTGTCTTGATTTGCCTGGCATTGAGGCTGCCCTTCCCTGCCCCATTCCCCAGGCTGAAAGCTCTCCTGCAGCTCTTCCTTGCAGGTCACTGGTGCCTAGGCCTCAGGGCAGTGAAGGAACCTTGGGGAGGGGCCTGCGATCCTTGGCAGTCCTGGTGAGCCAGGCCCTCCCAGGACACACCCTCTCCTGAGCATTTTTGAGGTCTCAGCAGACCTAGGTCCTCACATCCCCCTGCCCTCAGCCTTATGCTATTCCAGCCTGGAGACACCTTCACCAACCCCCCCCCCCCCCACCCCCCCCCCCCCCCCCCCCCCCCCCCCCCCCCCCC